GTATTGGAGCCCTATAGAAATCCTTCAAGAACCCGACAACCCCAACACCGAATTCTACCCTAAAGTCACCCTAAACCCTAAACCGTGCCCGCGACCCTGAATCGTCAACCCTAGGATACCCAGTAACCTAAGAATAAAAAGGCCTCTCTTTTTGGTATTGGGTAACTTTATAAGGAACCTAGGAGCTACAAAAAGGGAATAAGGGTACTACTGGGCATCCTAAAACCCTGAAGCTTCCTGAAAGCCGCAGTCTTGAACTAGGCTGCAGTTCAGTAAACCGCTGTGCAACAGTCTATGCACTATTACTAGGAGTCCCCCAAGCAAAAAATGGTAAGAACAGGCCAGATACCACTCAACATCCCAGTAGACCCATCCCTACGACCCGCAAACTGAAACCAAACTCTACACTTGGCCACAAACCCCATGACCTTGCTACAGTTAAAACCATCTACAACCCGTTTACTAGGCCTCCCGCCCCCTTACATCCTCTAAAACGCAATTTCAAGCCGGAAACTCTAGAATCCCTACAATGCGAGCATCCTAGAACCGTGGACTCTCAGTCTAGACCCTATAAACCATAAGCCCTTCCCTTGAGCAGATTTCTAAACGCGCAAGCCCAACACGGCCAACAAAAATCGGCAAACAACTTCAACCACAGGTTGTCCACGAAAAAAAGTCTTCGTCCCCAGCCTCAACGACGAAAAAAAAACTATTCGTCCCGAGCCTAGGAATATGCCCGGGTCGAAGTGTCGGGAGCTCATGGTTTCGAGCGCGACCGAGCAAAGGCCGAACCTGTTCCCAGACCCCCGGGAGGATTGAAAAAGTAGATCCCTTATTGGGGGGTTCCTATACAGTACCCTTAGTAGTATAGGGCCTCAAATTAGGGGATCTACTTCTAGATCCTCCCGGGGGGCTGGGTTGGGGTGTACTGGCTTTTGCAATAACAATAATAACAATGATCACAATACTAACAATAATACCAATATACTAACAATAAGGGAGATTCCGAGAATTGGGGGTAAAATAAGGGAGTTTTCGAAAACTTGGGGGTACCTTTAAAGGGATCCTTAAATGGAGCTAGAAGAGTTCTACAAAGGGTTTAGGATTTAGAGTTTCCGAAAATTAGGGGTACCTGATTTTGGGGCCCTTATAATAAGGATCCTACTATTTAGGGTACCATATTAGGAGCCCCTATGTTCGGAAACTCCCATAAGAACAACAACGATAAGGTTTAAAACATCTGGTGGAGCTTTATCGGGCTTCAATTCGTAAGAAATTCAAGACTTTTGACGTTCGAGACTACTGTTGGGGTCGTTGGACTTCGTAGTAAAAACGGTTGTCAACAAGGGCTTTTGGATTTCAGCCGCTTCGTAGCTGGGCGTAAAAGTAGGTGGCAAGGCAGGGACTACATCATGCAGGGGCTTCATGAAAGTTCTGCATGAACGAAAGGCTTGTAAACAAGATCCGTGCCGATGCATTTTAAAACTCGTACATACAACTCCCTCCGGATACTTGCAACCCTACTCTTGTAACCACGCGATGACACTGCAAGAGGTGGATTTTGGCTTACACCACAGGGACATCACTCCAAATCCACCCGAAATGCCAAGCCCCGCAGCCTTAACCATGCGCCCCAGAGATCCCAATACCCCTTAATTAAGGAATAGACCTTAAATCATAATATTAAGGCCCCTATAATTTCAGGTATATTCCTTAATTAAGGGGTATGGGGTTCTCTGGGGCTCTAAGCCCCAAAGCATGCCCTCGACTAGGCTCTGTCTCATTGAAATTCTGTGTATATATATATGTAGTTAAAGGACATGCATATACATAAAATATACATGGCTACATACATACATGCATGCATACATACATATATATATATATATACACTTAGACTAGAGTAGATAGCTCACTTTGTACATTTTGTGATCTTGTGATCGCCCGGCGTTCAGGGTTTGCGGAGCCCGAATTTCTGGGGCTCTCACGCTGCGGCCGACGCCAAGGCCAGAATCTCACCCAAGGAGTCGGTCTCGGCTGCACGACTAATGTATATATAATATGTATATATATATATATATATATATACATATATGTATATAAACACATCTACATGTGTGTATATATAAACGCATCTACATATATATATATATATATATATATATATATATATACACACATACACTCATAAAGTTAGCTGTATGTCTGCATTTTCACACAAACAAACATACAAATATGTACATATATATATATATATGGAGAGATATGTACACACATCTAGATCACATATGATATGTGTTTATACAGAAAATAACACACTACAGGCCCCAGTTTCGTGGGTTTATATATATATATAGTATACAAAGGCATGATGCATCTATATGCATATAGACACACACACATATATATATATGTATATATATATATACACATACACACACACATGCTCAACAGCACAGTCGTCGTATTGGCGGTGGCCTCTATGTGCTTTGCCGACGAAGAAACACGGAGGTGGATCATGGGGCGACCAGATGTATATACATATATACATATACACACATATGTATGTATGTATGTATGGGCCTCAGTGATTAGAATTAATCTCGTCGGTGGGATTCCTTCAAAGCGTTCTATAAGGGATACAGTAAGGCTGCAAGGTTGCCAGAAAGGTTCAGTGCAGCAGCTCTAGGAATTGGAGTAGAGTTCCTATCGGAGGTATATGAGAGTTCTATTAAATGAGTTATAGGCTTGAGTGTACGGGCCGCAATAATTAGCATAGGTATTGGGGTGTATCATACTACACATATCTTAAGGACCAAATGATACCTGCAACCGGTTACGGCTCAGTTCCCTTATGAGGAGTCTGAGGGCATAAAGGAGACGACGCATCTATGGATCGGTGTGCCCTCAAGAAACGTATATGCTGCCGATGCCGGTGATACTGGCGTTGGTGCTGGCGATGAGGATGCTGTTGCTCATGATGACACGTGACTGCTCGGGCCCCAACAGCATGCAGAATACTAGCCTTTTGCATCCTTTTACAGGCGCCGGGCCATTATTTTACATATGTTTGGGGTTTCCGTGATAGTTGGTAGTCACGCTGATAAGCTGTATGCGACTCTTGAAAGAGCAGCGATGCATGAATGCGAGGAATCCAAGATTCCCTAAACCTCGTCTGAAGGGAACTGAGCCAGAAACGGTGTTGTGTATCACTTGGTCCTTGGGGTGAACTTCGTCCTTAAGGATGTGTTGGTGGTTATTATTCAGAACGCATGTCCCCTAAGGATCAGGGGCCATAGTACGTAGGTGATGATTACGCTCCCAAGTGCACAGCCTGGCGGTGAGCACGTATATAAGCTTACTGAGTAACTGCTCAGTCATCCTCTGTAAATTGTATCAACTGATTGCACATCCGTCAAAAGCACCCGCTGAAAACCACTCGAAAAAGGATACGCAACCTCCAAGCTGCGCCACGAAACACCCGGCCGCAAGCCCGACAAATGCCTAAACCGGAACCCTAAACCCCATGGCCCATCAAATCACCGTGTTTCATGGTCTATACCGAAACTAGCATCAGGGAACTGAGCCACAGAATGAATTCACATTCATGTAATCCCATACCCTAGATCTATCATTCTCACTTTAAGGGGACTGAACATGGTCAGATCGTGAAAGTCACATGTTCCACAATATGCAATCTTGAGCCCTGTCAAAGACCTAAACCGTAAATTGTATTGGCATGACATTCCTAAGAGTATTATTAGTAATGGTAGTACTGTTGGTGCTAAAGCTAATATCTTAGTTTTTCATATTTCTACCGTTAGTAACACTACTTTTGTTTATTATGTTAATAGTGAATACTGATATTCTGATAAGTGTAGAAATTGGTGCTTTTGCCGTTGTTAAGTGTTGTTGTTGGTAGCACTTTGACAAATATGAACCATAAACATTTTGCTTTGCTTATTATTAACATCATCACCACTCGGGTAAACACAATCACAACTTTAATCCTAATAGTAACAACCAGGTTGTTTCTGAGTATGACTGTTATCATGACTACTGTCATTGTTTTCACTCTTGTTATTAATACCCTGCACCCTAAGCCTATTAATGTTGACTGCAGTTGAACACTTCTTACCTAGAGGCTCATACCCTACCCCTTTTTCAGGGTACCTACTTTTCTAAAACCCTAAACTCTAAACCCCTAAACTCTAAACAACTAATGTTTACTTCTTACCTATAGTCTCCATTGTAGTTCCTTTTTTGGTTAACCAGTTTTATGGCTAGGATCCTATAATAGAGATTTTGGTTAACCAAAAAAAAGTATAGGTACTCTCCACTTGGCATCTGACATGGACAGCGTCTTTCGTCTCTTCCGGAGCCTGCGAGGGCGAGGGGAGCGGATGCTGGGTGGTGAGGGCTCCCTGTAGCCGAAAAGACCTACCCTTCTTTAGGGTTCCTTACTATTGTTTCTATATCTATATATATATATATATATATATCGGGAGAGAGAGAGAGAGAGAGAGAGAGAGAGAGAGAGAGAGAGAGAGAGAGAGAGAGAGAGAGAGAGAGAGAGAGAGAGAGAGAGAGAGAGAGAGATCCTCAAACAGGTAAGTCTTTTCGGCTACAGGTCAGGGTTAAGGATGGCAGCTTCCGCCCGGAACCTAAGGCTACGACTCCAGGAGGAAGGACTCGTTCGATCCGATATCTGATTCCAAAGTCTGTAAGGGCTACTTCGTGGTGGCATCATCTTGAAACTCAAACCAACTGCATTGGCAAATCGGGCTTGGAAAATCTGCGCGACATCCGAGCACCTGTTTACTGCACTGTTGCTCGCAGCGCAGCTGAGCTGCACTTGTCGCAGCCTATATATGTAGCCTCGAACTGCCCATGCCCTCCGGCAGAAAGCATGCAATCTTCAGTTGTGCAGGCGAGGCGGAAATACTGTTGGTCGTAGAGCAGAAGCAAAGCTGCAAGCTACGATGATATTGTAGATAAGATCACCCTTTTTTTGCCAAGGACTTGTCCACCCAACCGTTGCTCTCCGATGTGTTTTGGCGTCCCCAAGCAGCATCGGCGACCTCCCCTGCGAGCCGAGGGCGGCTGCCCATGCAGAGAGAATGGGCCTCCGATGTGCCCAGGAGTGCACCTACCACCAACTGATCCAAGCGCTTCTCCCGAGCTGCTTGCGCATCTTTCGCCCATTCGACACTGCGCCGCCGGCGATTGAAGCTGACTTGATCAAACTCAAAAAGGGGGTTGTCTTCTTCCAGACCTCGCGATAAATGTGGCAACATAGCTCCCACGTCGCACGGAACTTCTTTGAACAAGTATGTCATCTCGACGGGATGACCAGACGATTTGAACATGTCCAGAGAAATCAGCGGTGTGGGCCCTGCCTCCATCAGGACACAAGCTTCATGCACCAGCTGGACATCATGCCCGTCGTGAACAGCCCCTGTCACTTCTCGTACACGCTGGCAAAAAGCTGCGAATGTCTCCCGAAGTGGGACGTCCCTGAGCTCCTTGCACTCCCCCTGCAAGCCATGAAGCATAACGCAGCAAGTTGCAACCACCTCGGGCTCATGTGCGGCATCAGACGCATCTGCAGCCATCCTAGCGAGGAAATTCCCCATTCAGAATGGGGTTCTCGCGATGTACTTCCTGGATCCCATAAGCGAGAGCTTCAGGGCTTCAAGTGCAATGCTTTTTGCTGCGGGCTTGCAGCGAAAACTTTCGCGACCCCTGTTGTCCTGGGGTCATACGCTACTATAAAGCCAGGTACCCTAAAAAGAGTGTTGGGTGCGCCTAGAAGGCTTAGAAGGTCGAATGTCCTTTGCTTTTATCTTACGGATGACTCGCTAACCCATAGGCTAGGATCTTAGTACATGTCCACTCACACCTAAACCTTAAACCCACAACCCAAAACTCAAAACCCTATACCCTACATCCTAAATCGTGATTAGGCTCCCTGGGAAGCGTGTCGGGGACTAGGAGCTCACAAAGGGAATAAGACTCGGAAGTGTTGTTATGTACCTCTGGGTCGTCTGAATTTCAAGATGAGTTTGGGGATGGGGCGGGGGTTTCGGCTTTAGGGTCGAGGGCTTAGGGTCAGGTAATGACGATTTAGGTTTTTTTTGAACGCCGAATACTTTTTCCGTCCGCCTAGAAAGGTCTCAGGAACATCCAGTACGATCTAGGGTTTAGGATTAAACCCGAACCCAAAATGCTAAACCACTACACCTCACGGCAGTGCATCAAGACTTTTTCCGCTCTAAACGGACCTGGGGCGACTTCGCAAATTCACGGACGCAGGGACGCACATTCGCGGTGCGCCAGCCATTTTGTAATTATTGCCTAAAGACGGCTGCACTGCGTCAACCCGTACAGTAATCTCCAGGCTCCATGTACGAAAAAAAACCTAAAGTACAACACAGGTCAAATTAAACTCTAAGAATAGTATCTGACTTGGTTGGTTGACGTCTTAGGCCTGAGCACCGGGAACCCAAACCCTACACCCCAAACAGAAACCCCTATCTTGTGAACATGTCGTTCAGGTATAAGCTGAACCGCTGGAGACTTAAGGATCTTGGCCAAACTTCAACTTAAAATCCTCAAGCTTTAGGGCTTGAGGGGTTAGAGTTTCAGGATCAACTCCGAAGAAGGGCTCCAACAGTCCCACAATTTAAGGGTGCACCCCGAGTCCTAAATCTTAAGTTTTCAGGTTTAGGAGTTTAGGTTAAGCCTTGATGACTAATATAGGGGCCTTAATAGCTAGAATAGGCTTTTGGTGCCTATTATACTATAATTGTAACAAGGAACCCCCCAAAACAGTGTAAGTGATTATGTAGGCCCCTATATATTGGACTCGAAATCGGACTCCAAATCTCAAACACGCGAGCGACGACCTGTAAATGGTGCATTGTCGACCACAGGTGAGCTCCAGTTTCTACGTTACGGGTTTAGATTTTACGGCTTAGGGTTTAGGGTCTCGGGTTTGGGGTTAAGGGTTTAGGGTGCTACGGTTTAGGGTTTAGGGTGTAGTGCTTTATGGACTGGTGCTTAAAAGGGGGAGGGGCTGTGCATCACTAGAGCTGCCCTCACAGTATGGCCCTTGTAGTCCCTCCTCCACTGTGCCTCAGGCACCACTAAGTAAGGAATATACTCTAATTCACAAGAGGGATCCTACTATAATTTAAGGTATATTCCTTAATTAAGGGATTTTGGAAGGTCTGGGCACTACCTACTTGTCGGGTATCATGGGAAACTAAAGGTTAACCTTGTGGGCTATATAGGGATTAGATAGGGACTATACTACCCAAGAAAGGCTAAAGGATACCTACTCTACTACTCGGACTAAGCAATGTAGGGGCCTTGACAATCAGTATAGGGTTCTGGTATATGACTATGGTGTCCATATAACTAGCAAGTTCTGTGGCTGTTTAGCTGACTGACTTGTCCAGTATCCTGGAGGAACTGTTCGCTAATGTTTGGGCTTCTACAGGGGTTATTGAAAAGCTCTCGGCTTTAGGTTAGAAGGTTCAGGGTATAAGGGGACCTAGCAGCCTGAAATTGGCCCAGTCCAAGTGCATCCAAGGAAAAAGTGCCCTCAGTACTGGGTAATATATCAAAGACCTTCAGGCAACGTCGTTTGGACATACACACCTTCCCAATGCACCCGTGACCCCAGGCTCAATACAAACTGGAGCTCATGCAGATACGTTCGGCTCTTGTAAATCATCCGCTCAGGGTCCAAAACCCTAGTCACTGATCCTGTACTCCCTCCCCTCATAGGCGCCTTTCGAACTATTCTCGTAATTTATAAAGTCTTAAACCGTAAACACCAATCGGCACTTGGACCCTTCGGATCAATCTTCGAAGCATCTGCCCTGAAGCCACCCACGCTCAAAGTGGCTGTGGTTCTTGCACCGACGGCATACCTTTTGCTGAAAACAAGTCGGATAGCTTGCTTTTGAGGGGGCAGTATTGCATGGTATGCTATAAACCCGCATAAGTAGGCACCCTGTACTACTACTACTACTACTACGACGACGACGACGACTACTAGTACTACTAATACTACTAGCACTAGTACAACTAGTACGACTAGTACGACTAGTACTACTAGTATAACTAGTACTGGTACTAGTACTAGTTGCAAATACCACATACTAAGTACTATCAGTACCCAGTCTTCTATGCTATGGTGTTGGGGTTCGAAGTTTTGGCTGCCAAGCATTAGGTGTGATTTGATTTAGCGCGCCCGAAAAGTCAAGCTCCTAACTAACCAGTGGTTTTGGGGGTTCCCTTGGCTCTATAGCTCCTTATTTAATAGGGATTATCATCATCCCTGGCTCCTTAGCTCCCATAATATCAATGGTCAGCTAAGACACAAACATGCAACCTAAACTCCGAAAAATCTCAACCCCGAGGGTTTAGGCTTTCGGGATTAGGGCTAAGGGTTTCGGGTATGGGTGGGATGTGGCTGAAGGTGGGGCGGGGTTGTCTGTTATTTTTAGTGCGCTCCCCGGATGCATGGTGCCTCTAGGAAAGGTTTGGACCTGCATTTAGGGTTCAGAGTTTGGGGTCTCGCAGCTTAGGGCTTGGGGGTATGGTGCTTTGGGCTCAGTGGGTTCAGTGGGTTTGGAGTTGACTTTGGGTTTATGCAGGTGTATCGTAGCCTGTAGCTCCGGGGGACGGACTTTTCTGACGTTGGCAAAACCAAAAGGGTTTGGGGTTTCATTCGGAAGCCTCAATGGTCTCAGTTCATTGGAAATCCGAAAATGCTTCCTTTCAGCCTGCATTTGCACCTATATAACTGGGAACCTCAACTCACAAGGATTTTCTGAAACACGATAGTAGACAAGCTAAATCTAAACTTAGGGCCCGAAGTCACGAACAAAAACACAGAATCCCGACTCCTTCGGCCCTTGCTGCTCCGCCCTACACCCCAGAAGCCCAAACAAAGCCTTTCCTAACATACACTCGAAAAAGATAAGACGAGATACCACGGCTGGCAGGAGCGATGTCGTCTGTGCGCTCGGACTCAGAGTGGGGCAGTGCATCCTGAACAATGAAGTGCTTACCCAGGATTTCAGGATTTAGGCTACAGAATGTGGGGTTTGGTTCAGGGCTTAGAAGCTAGGCCCCTGAAGCCTGCAAAATAGGTGGGTAGTTGTCAAAATTAGGGTCCCTTTTTGGGTACCCTAAATATTAGGTGCCGTATTATAATAGGGACCCAAAAAGGGACCCTAATTTTGACAGCCACCGAGGTGTGCCTGTCGGTTTGTGTCCTGACTGGAGGATCATGGGACTTAGTAAGTAGGGTTATAACTGCCTTAATTAGGGTTATAAGTACTTATAAGTATAGTTACCTTATTTATAAACCCACTTACTAAAACCCATGATCCTTTAAGTATGCCTCAGTTGAGAGCCCTCGAACTTATGAAACACAGCGCATCCTAGCCAAAAGCTGCATCGCATCTCTATGACACTTAGGACTTAATGGTTTGGGGTCTGCTGAAATCTTCTGCAACTTAGCTAACCGGTGGTTTTGGGACTCCCTGGGCTCTTTAGCTCCTTATTCAATGGGGATTATCATCATCCCTGGCTCCTTAGCTCCTCCAATATCAAAGGTTAGTTAGTCAACAGCCAGACCTTATCTTAGACAAAGCACTGGAGACTGAACACACAAGCTAAAATCGCCCGAGACGGTACGCCCTCAGACCGGAAACGCCCCTAAACCCTAAACCCTAAACCCCGAAACCCTAAACCCTAAAAAAAAAAAAAAGAATCCGTTCACTGGGTCCGAGGCCAAACCCTCGCGAAGAACCTCCGAGGAATTGTGCCGGCTCCTGCGTGCTAAGCACAGGGCTTACCAGCAAACCACCGATCACTGAAACAAGGTTCTAAGGGCGCTGTACAGTAGGGCTTTATATGATTTTGCAGCGTGCTGTAGGGCTTCATACAGTTTTCTTGACATGCATATTTCAGGTTCTTGTAGGTTTCAGAGCCTTTTGGGGTAGAGGCCCAGAGGTGGGGCCCCCAAAGAGCGAGGCCAGGTGCAAAACAGATTCGCGGGGGGCCAGCCCTCAAAGTCACAAAGGCCCCCACGGTGTAGGGTTGAGGGCTTCATACCCTACTCTACCTTTTTTGGGGTACCTAGTTTTATGGTTAGGGTCTGCTATTTAGAAAAGCAGGTGTCCTACTCTAGGCCAACTTAACCCGGAAGGAAACGGGAGGTCGCATGTCTCCAAACCTGTGTTGCTGGCCCAAGGTGGTTTCATCAAAACCAGCGTTCAAACATCTTGGTGGGCCCACCACATAAAGCCGATTTGGGTTTCTTGGCTGTTGTAGATGCAGGGGATAGGCTATATCAAGGGTGTCTGCATATAAAGTAAGCTGCAAGTTATGGATGGGACCCTTGGTATCACTTAAGTTGTACTGCAAAAGTGGTCCACAGGGATTCCTTATGTACTCTTGCCTTGAATAGCGAGGCCCATGCAAGTTCAAACTGTTCAGACTGTTCATACTAAATATACTGCACAAGGCCTAAAAATGTAAGTATTCCCACCGACTATCTATACGGGTAATTGTAGGCTTGGGGCTCCCCTTTGAACGTTCCAAACACAGCAAT